ACCACCACCACCACCACCACCACCACCACCACCACCACCACCACCACCACCACCACCACCCCCACCCCCACCGCCCCGGCTTCCCGTTCGGGGAATTTCCGTTCGACTGGGAACACTTGGCCAAGATCCATGAAGCTAGGAAAGCGTGGCTCGCACTGCCACCACTTAGAGAAGCCAACATTAAATGCAATGAGTTTATTCTGGAGTCCAGCTCCAGGACCCATGAGCTCTTTTAGGCGATGGGGCGGCGCTGGTGGCAGTCCCGGCCTCCCAACGCGAGGGGGCGCTGTGAGCTCCGTGTGGCATCTTGGGCGCTGGGAGGTTACTGCGCAAGCGCATTCAGGGCTTTTTCCTCCATCCACACGTGTGAACCTTCCCGGCAAGGCTCTCGAGAAAAATGCCCAAATTGAAGGCGGCTCGCGGGGCCGGGGGTCAGGAGAAGCATGCGCCCCTGGCCGAGCAAATCCTGGCTAGGGACGCGGTGCGGGCAGGGGCCCGGGAAAAACGACGGGGCCGTGGAACCGGAGAAGAGGAGGAAGAGTACGTGGGGCCCCGGCTGACCCGACGGATTTTGCAGCAAGCGCGGCAACAGCAAGAGGAGCTCGAGGCCGAGCATGGGACCGGGGGCAGGCCCGCGGCGCCGCGGGAGCGCACCACGCGGCTGGGTGAGTGGCCGGGGTGGGTACGAGGAAGAGGGTGGGTAGCTGGGGTGGATGGCTGAAAGGTTCCGGAAGGGGAATAGCTTGGAATAGAAGAACAGGGGGCCGTATTACACTCTTGCAAAGGTAATGGAATGGGACACCCAACCCTGAGGCGGAATGAGGGTGGCCAGTGACCTCCACTCCCACTCCTAGTTTTAGGCACTCGCTTTTAGGCACCCCCAAGGTTAGGCCAACAGGATGTGTTTGCTCACGCCACTAAGTTTTGCTAGTATTTATCCATTTGTTCTGTAAATACTTATGGGATGTCTACTATGTACATTCCACTGTGCTAGGAGTTTAGATGGTTTAGGTAAAAAAGTAAACAAGATAGACGAATACCTGACTTCAGGATCTTATAATCTAGCCCAGGAGAGAGACGATGAAATAGACAATTAGAATAATGCACTCCGTGATGAAGTGTAGTTTCTCTGATAACAATAGCATTAGTCTTGGGGGGTCAGGCTTCCCAGATGGCTTGGCCTTTGTGCTAAGACCTGAGAAGTGGGGAGGGCTCTGAGCACAAATAACAATATTGATTAGGGGCTAAAGAGGGAGAGAGATTAATTAAAAGGTGGTCGATTTTTTTCTTATTAGGCTGGGAGTGTTGACCTCCAAGTTGCTTAATCTGTTTCTCAGCTCTCATCTTTCATTTGTCCTGTGAGCAGTATTCGCAATGGAACACTAGCCTCCTGGCTACAGTATCTTTACTTGGCTTCTAAAACATCACATACCTGTTTTACAACTTCCTCACCTCTCAGTAGCCTTTGCTGGCTCCTCTTTTGCCACCAACCTCTTGCAGTGGCATAGGGTTCCATCCATGGACCTCTTCTCTTCACTTCTGTTCACTGCTCTGGTGCTATCATCAGTTTCCAGGTTTAAATACCATCTATTTGGTAACTGCTTCCCAGTTCATATTCTAGGCCTGATCTTTTCCATGAAACCCAGATTCTTATATTTCAGCTACCTCTTCAGCCTCTCCAGTTTGAAGTCTGAGACATCTCAAATTTCACATGTCCAGAACAGAAATCCTGACCATCTTGCCAAACCTCCACCCACAGTCTGCTTCGTCTCAGTTAATGGCATGATGTCCTTCCATTTGCTCCAGACAGAAACCTTGGACTGCTCTCTTCCTCACTCCACGTCTGATCTATTAGGAAGTCCTGTTGACTCTACCTTAAAAATATATCCAGAATCAGATCACTTCTCACCATCTGGGAACAGCATCCTGTTCAAACTACCATGATCTCTCACCTGGATGATTGCAGTAGCCTGCTAATTAGTATTCCATACCCTCTACAGTCCACTCTCAGCTCCACAGCTCGAGGATTACAGTGGTCTACAAAGACCTGTGTGAACTACGCCTTTTGTCAGTCTGACCTTTTTTGCTTCCCCTAGGCCTGCTCTGAGCACTCCGTTAAAAATTGCAACACCCCCACCCCTGTCTCCACACTCCAGCTTCTCTCTTCTGCTACGTTTCTTTTGTCGTGGCATTTGTCTTTTTTAAACGTAATATATATCATATTAGTTCATCGTCTGTTTCCGCCATTAGAATGTAAGCTCTATAAGGGCAGAATGTTTTTGTTTCTCTTGTTTGCTTATATTCCAGCACCCAGAACAGTGCCTCACTTATAGCAGGCACTCGTTTGCTGAGTGAATGATGGTGAGGTAGGTCAGAGCGAGAGCTACAAACGACTTGTAGGCTGCCTTAAAGACAATGGGGAGCTATTGGAGACTATGGGGACCAGTTAGGGGATTGTCGAATTAATCCAGGCAACAGGTGATAACTGACCTAGGCTTTGACGGGGGCGTGAAGGCTTTAAGAGGGATTCTGTGAGGTACAATGGAATAGGACTTGGTAATTGATTGGATGTTTTGGGTGAGGGCAAGGGACAAGGCAGGCCTGCTGCCCAGGCTCTGGCTTAGTATTGGCTGGATGGTGGTGCTGTTTACTTAGATGTGGAACACGGTGAGTAGTGTAGACCTAGGAGGGAAAGGGAGTGAGTGTGGTTGATGACAGGTGAAGGTTGAAGTGCCTGTGGGTCATCCATGACCCAGCTCTACAGGAGGCAGCTGGAGTTAGGGTCTGGAGCGAAGGGAGATCCACCTACAGGTACAGATTTGGGAGTTGTTAGCATGTGGAGACAAAAGATCTAGTGCGTGTTCCCCTCCCCCCTTATTTAGCTTTTATCACACAGTCTCTGTTCTTAATGACCTGTTCATGTGTAGTGTTCTATCTCCCCACTTAGATTATTACCTCCCTTTTCAGACGCCCAGCCAGCTGTAGTCTTCCAATAATCGGTTATTCAGATGGGTTGGTCTGTTGAAATCTGAACTCACTGCCCGGCCTCACTTTACCCATCTAGCCTTATTTCTTGCAACTGTCTACACTCTTGGGTTTTTTTGTTTTTGTTTTTTTTAAAAACCATTGATTATACACTTTAAATTTTTTATTTATTTATTTATTTATTGGCCCCACCATGCAGCTTGCAAGATCTTAGTTCCCTGATCAGGGATTGAACCCTCGCCCTCGGCAGTGAGAGCGCAGAGTGCTAACCACTGGACCACCAGGGAATTCCCAACAGACACTCTTGTAACCACGCCTTCTTGCCAGTGTTGTTACCCAGGTCTGGTAAACACTCCTTCATTTCCCATATTGCCTATCCAGAGCCTAACCATCCTCTGCACTCATCATCTTCTGGGTGCCTGTGGTATATATCATTTCTGCCACTCATTTAGGCACATAATCAAGCCCTACCATGCGTGTAAAAGAGGTGAAGAATGCACAGTCTAGGCCTAGATTGCCTGCCTTAGGCAAGTCACTTAACTTTTCTGTGCTTCAGCATCCCCATCTGAAACTGGGTATAATCATAGTACCTATTTCTTGGGTTTATGATGGTTACGTACAGTGTTTAGAAGAGTTCGTGGTATATAACTGAGTATAGTGTGTTAACTATTATTTACTGCTATCACTGTCTCATTGGTTCATATGTGTACATTTTGTTTCTCAAGCAAGATTGTGCGCCCCCCGGGGACTGGAAGGTAGCATTTGCATCACTAGTTTCACTTTGCACGTCTGTGTCTATTACAAGCCAGCCCTGGACCATATACATGATGGTTAACCTTTGAATTCCTAAGCCATCGCTTACCTTGCTCACCCATTTCATCTCCCCTCTTCTGGGTCCAGGAGTGCCACAGGATGGATCAGATGACGAGGAGTGGCCCACTCTGGAGAAGGCTGCCACCATGACAGGGCCAGACTACCACGCAGAGGTGGTTGTGGACCCCGAGGATGAGCGGGCCATTGAGATGTTCATGAACAAGAACCCTCCTGCCAGGTAGGGCTGGCATGGCCTGGGATTTGGGAGAGCGGGTCCTGGTAGCAACTTTATAGAGAAGAAACTTTTTATGCAGAGAAGCATGTGTCCTGGCAGGGTTTTGATTCCGCACCTTTGGGAATTGAGCATTGCGAGTTGTGGGGAACCGCCTTGACAAAAGTGACCCATCCTCAAAGGACTGTTCTTAATGAGAATGACCCAGACTCAAAATACCTCCTCCCCCCTCTGCCTTAGAACTGCCTGGATTACCTGGGCAAACAGTTGCAGGCCTTGTTCTCTCTCTGGGTGATCTGTCCCATTGCATTTGGTCTTGGTATGCTCAGTTTTCTTAGTGGTGAGCTCAGTTTCCTTAGCCACATCTTTTTCATACCCTAAGCTTCATTTTTTCCAGGGTTTTCCAGCCCCAGCACTACTGCATTTTGGGCTGGATAATTCTCTTCTGTGGAGGCTGTCCTGTGCGATTTAGGATGTCTAGCAACATCCCTGACTTGTATCCATTAGATACCAGTAGTGACCGTCCCCCCAGCTGTAATAACCAAAAATTGTCTCCAGACGTTGCCAGATGTCCCCCAGGGGGCAAAAGCACCCCACAGTTAGAACCACTAACTCATTCTCATCTGTAGTAAATGCTAGGTGCAAAACATGCAGGCTTTTAAGCTCCTGTGTTCAAACTCCAGAGCCCGTGGATTTTGGCCCAGGAGAGGGGAGTCTAGGATAAGGGCCCTCGACCAGTTCATTCTGACCATGTGATGTTAATGTGACATTGTTCTTGGTTCTTCAGGCTCTTGGGTTCGTGCATGTCTCATTGCTAGTAATACTGTGGGAAGGCAGGGAGGCTGAACGACAAGTTCCATGGCTGTGTATTTGAGAGGCAGAATGAAGCTGTGAGCCCCTTTCCCAGTGTGATGTGCAGCAGCTGAGGTGGATGTTACAAAGTGCGTGCTGGTCCCACCAGAGAGCCTCTCAGGTTCCCACCCAGCGGCTGTAACTCCTCTTTCGCAGCCCATTCTGACAAGCTTGGCAGGGTGGTTTTCCAGCTTGTTGTCAACAGAAAAGTAAAGCTACTAGGAACAGGGGCTCCTGACAGTCTTGAGGGGTGACAGCTGGCATCTTCAGAGAGCAGGCTAGACCCACGTGAGCTCAGCAGTCAGAGGCCATTTAGTTTGGGGGCACATATGTACTGTTAGGTGCCTGACCTTCAGAACCTGAAAGACCAGGCTTTGACTCTTTGCACTACTCGTGAGCTGTGCGACCTTGGGTGAGTTACTAACCCCTCTGCATATCGGTTCCCATATCTGAGTAATGGGAATAACAATACCTCACGTGGGTGTCACATGGACAGTGTGAGGGCACATCTGGAAAGTCCTGCCCTTGGAAGACAGGAGCCATGTTTGTTTTGTTTTGTTTTAATTAATTTTTATTGGAGTATAGTTGCTTTACAAGGTTGTGTTAATTTCTACTGTACAGCAAAGTGAATCAGCTATATGTGTACATATACCCCTTCTTTTTTTGGATTTCCTTCCCATTTAGGTCACCACAGAGCATTGAGTAGAGTTCTGTGTGCTATACAGTAGGTTCTCATTAGTTATCTATTTTAAGGAGCCATTTTAAATAGACTTCAGCAGACCCTGAAGACACCTTTAGTGCACCAAAGCCCAATGTAATGATAATTCTGAATCATCACGGTCTGATTGTGCTTAAGGAGGCTGGGAAAAAAAGATCATTCATCTTGGACCTCTTTCCATAAACTTTAATAAATTAAAAGGGGGGTAAGTGTGTGCCATCGTCTCTCCCTAATGATCCCAGCTACCAGAAGTCTTGGTATATAATTGAGGTGTGTCTGGTACTCTGGAGAGGTCAGACCAGGGTTTTGTAACTGGAGAGTCCTCAGCACACTGGCAGCATGTGATGGATGTGTTTGAAATAGGAACACTTTTCACAAACTTATTACTACTGTCACTGATAGTTCCACGTAGAGTACATACACTAACTTTTTTACTCCTCATGTTAACTTTATGAGAGTAGGTACTGTTATTATCCCTGTTTTACAGGGGAGGGAGCTGAGGCATAGAGAGGCAGAGTAGCATGCCCAGGGTCATGCAGGGAGCAGAGGAGCCAGGACCTGAACCCAGGCAGGTTGACTTCAGAGGCTAGGTTCCTCGCCTCCACACACGACTGTCAGCTCCATCCTGAGCTGAATGACTGCCGGGTCCTCTGTGCTCTGCAGGGATTCTGTGCTGGGTTGTTGGGCCCAGAGGGGACTGAGGTCACGTGTGCCGACAAGATCGCAAGTTTATCGGGGCTCTCAAGGGACTGCGTGGGGAGTCAAGAGCTTCCTGGACTGAGAGCACGCACTCCCACCCCTTCCCTCCGTTTCTCCCAGGCGCACCCTAGCTGACATCATCATGGAGAAGTTAACTGAGAAGCAGACGGAAGTCGAGACGGTCATGTCCGAGGTGTCAGGCTTCCCTGTGCCCCAGCTGGACCCCCGGGTCCTGGAGGTCTACAGAGGGGTCCGGGAGGTAAGAGCTGAGAGGAGAGCTGTGATGGGACTCCCTCACAGGGGCTTTGGGTGCCTACTTCTCTCGTAGAAATAAGGCCTGGTGGCTGAGAGTGGGCTCAGGGGTCAGAGTGCACGGCTCCAGGGTCCTGCTCTCCTGCTTACTTGACTCTCTGGTCTCAGTTTCCCCACTGGAAAATGAGGATGATAATAGCACCTCCTCACAGGGTGGTTGTGAGGATTAAGTGAGTTAATGTATGAAAGGCACCCAGACAAGTGCCTGGCACCTGGTAAACATTGTGAATGTTAATGACGATGATGATTTTATTCTCTCATCATCAGGTGTTGTCTAAGTACCGCAGTGGGAAACTGCCCAAGGCATTTAAGATCATCCCTGCCCTCTCCAACTGGGAGCAAATCCTCTACGTCACAGAGCCTGAGGCCTGGACCGCTGCTGCCATGTACCAAGCCACGAGGTAGAGCAGATGGGGGTCAGGGCTGCTTTGGGTCTGTAGGGAAGGGCTGGGTGTGGGAAGGACAGGCTTTCCTTCCCTTTGCCGTTACATCCTAGCTTTGCCCCCACAGTGCTGTCTCATGCTTCTTTATGTCATCATATTCCCAGCTTTTTCTGTTTCCTGTTTTGGAGCCGAGACCCTGTTAAGAATGTCCTGTGATGAGTTTCCAGGGGAGAGGCTCAAAACTACGAGGATACAACCCTAGGGTGTCAGGGTGGCTTCAAAAGTCTGTGGCTCCCCAGGCATGCACAAGTCCCTGGTGACAGAAGGATAGAGGGTACCCATTGATGGAGAAGGGAAGGTGAACAGCTGGGTACCTGTCTGCCTGGGAGAGCTCTGACTCACCCCGAAGACAGACCGTGTTCACCCTGTTTGGGTACATCTCATTGCCCCTCCTTTTCCCTCTCTCATCTGACCTGGGTGTTGCATGCACCCAGCTCGCTTCACACACCCTCCAATCTCTTGCATGTACCATCCACATTGATATTTAAAAGGCCAGCTCCAGACTATCAGGTGACCTGGGATCTCCCCCCTTTCCTCCAAAAACACTAGGATTTTCGCCTCTAACCTAAAGGAACGTATGGCCCAGCGCTTCTATAACCTGGTCCTGCTCCCCCGGGTGCGAGATGACATTGCTGAGTACAAACGACTCAACTTCCACCTCTACATGGCACTGAAGAAGGCTCTCTTCAAGCCTGGAGCCTGGTTTAAAGGTGGGAACCCAGGAGGCACTTAAGAAAGGGAGGGGCTGGAGCTCCTGCAGTACCTCCTTTCTCTCACTCTGGGCTTAGAGTGACTGCCCCTCTGCCCCTCCCCAGGCATCCTGATCCCGCTGTGTGAGTCGGGCACGTGTACCCTCCGGGAAGCCATCATCGTGGGCAGCATCATCACCAAGTGCTCCATCCCTGTGTTGCACTCCAGGTAGTGTTGGTGGGGGTGGAGGACCACTGGTTGGCGGATCTCCACACGGCAGAGTCCCAGGACCGGGGATGGGGGATGCAGAGTGGGGAAGGAGCTAAGCATAGCCCTGGGTTTGCAGCTCATTTAAGCCAGTGGGTGTATCGTTACTCCACAAGAATGTCAGTTCCACAGGAACAAGGTCCCAGGGCCTGGCACATGGTAGGTACTCAGTAAATAGTTGAATGAATGAAAGAATGGGGAACATGGGAAGAAAGTAAGTTAGGGGTGGAGATCTCACGACGTTTGGACCTATTCTAGTTGAATACTGAGACAAGCAGTCTGAGCCGGACGTGAGGATTTGGCGTGAGTCAGCGTAGTGCTGGTAACTGGAGTCAAGGGAGTTAGATAGGGGAGGTGAAAAGAATGCCGGAGATTCCCCCTTTAGGGATAGCACAGTGTAAGGGCCAGAAAAGGAGAAGCCTTCCTCCAGCGTTTCCCTACCTCCCTTCCCCACTAGTGCAGCCATGCTGAAAATCGCAGAGATGGAGTACAGCGGTGCCACCAGCATCTTCCTGAGGCTGCTGCTGGATAAGAAGTACGCGTTGCCCTACCGGGTGCTGGACGCCTTGGTCTTCCACTTCCTGGGTTTCCGGACGGAGAAGCGTGAGCTACCCGTGCTCTGGCACCAGTGCCTCCTGACTTTGGTCCAGCGCTACAAGGCTGACCTGGCCACAGAGCAGAAGGAGGCCCTCCTGGAACTGCTTCGGCTGCAGCCCCATCCCCTGCTGTCTCCCGAGATCAGGCGCGAGCTTCAGAGTGCCGTCCCCCGAGATGTAGATGTTCCCATCACCACGGAGTGACGAAGCTTGTCCTGGTCTGCAGGGCATGGGAGGACACCAGGATCCCTGCCCCTGACTAAAGGTGACACTGAGCCTTTATAGCTGAAGGCCCAGTTCAGGGCCACAAGAGGTCACGGGCCTCTGATTCCCCAGTTCTGGACAGGGAGAACTCAGTCTGGCCGGCTCTCTCTTCCATTCTAGGCCTGCATCCCTGCTCAGTTCTGGGACCTGACTTGAAACTCCACAGCCTGACAGTCCCACTTCCCAGCTGGGGGTTGGAGTGGGTACTTTCTCTCAGGCTGTTGTGTCAGTTCACTGGGAGGTAGATAAAAACAAAAGGCAGGTATTTATTGAACTTCAGTGTTTTGATGTGGTGGGTGGAGATCTTTCTGCTTTCCCTATTTTGTGCAGGTGGGCACTGCATCCCTGCTCCTGTGTAGCAGTGGTTTCTTCCCCGGTTTACATGGGAGCTGAGCCCCCCTCAGACAAGTTTGTTTCTCGAGGCTGTACCCACCCTGTCAGCCCCTAGAGGGCACAGCCTTTGCCTTCCCCTGACACAGTCTACTTTGGGAGAATGCCAGCAACCAGGAGGTTGTTCACAAGATGGTCTCAGCTGTGGTTGGAAGAGCTAGGAGAAAACACCTAGAGGAAAGTGGAGATACAGAGGCGAGAAAGGTCAAGCCCGGGGTCACCACCAGACCAGTTCCCTGACTTTCTTAGCTAATGAAAGCTTTAGACCAAGGGTTGGCAAACCGGGGTCACATGCCTATTTCCTTATGGCTCGTGAGCTAAGAATCTTTACATTTTTGAATGGCTAGGGAAAAAATTGAAAGAAGGGTATTTTGTGATAGGTGAAGATTATATGAAATTCAGATTTCAGTGTCCATAAATAAAGTTTTATTAAGATGCAGCCACACCCATCCATTTCCATGTTCTCTCTGGCTGCTTTCATGCCACAGCAGCAGAGGCGAGTACAGTCTGGCTAGAACCCTTGTTATGTGCTTTGGAGAATGTGAATTTGTTCCAGCCTAATTACTGTATTTGGGAGGAATTTGATCATAAAGCAAATTTCACATTTATATGCAGTTTTGTCTTTGAGAAACGCTAGGTGAAAGCAGAAAACTCTACCCAGCTGAGCTGAGCCAGATGATACACAAAATGCACATACCTCAAGACATGTGCTAGCGACACCAGTTCACCTTGCGGGTTGGTACCACACCCACATCTGGAGTTACAACCCACCTTCCACATCCTTCCGACCTCCACTTCCACAGCAGACTTCAGGTGGTGTTTGTTTTTCAAGATAAAGGGCCATGTTTATTGCAGTATGCGTTTTTAACCATTTAATGTGTAAAAGCACTATCTTTCCTTTTTTTAAAAGACAAGTATCCCTCATTAAGTATGAGTATAGTGCCTCAAGCCCCATTTTCCCCATAAGCCCTGTGGTTTTTATTGTGCAATTTTGCATGGTGCAGTGCTTTTTAGGAATGCATAGATCACATTATGAAGCAAAACTGACTATATCTGGGGCAGAGACCGTATGGCCCACAAAACCTGAAGTATTTACTCTGGTCCTTTACAGAAAAGGCCTGATGACCCCTACTTGAGACCACTGATTTCCACCCCCTAGAAATAGGCTTTTGCCCACACTGCCATCCAATCCAAGAAGCCAAAGAGAGTTTTATTTCAGAATCTTTATTAAGGTAGCATGATGGTCCTGGGCCGCCAGCCTGGACCTTGTGGCCTCGGGAAAGACCTGTGTCAACAGGGCCTGCCTCGCTCTCCAGACAGGGGGCTCGGTCACCTCCAGGTCATCGCTACCTCATCCCCCAGCCTTGCAGGATGGAGCAGAGGGCCAGAGGGAGGGGAGGGTGTGGCCCCACCCCAGGCTGTAGCAGCTCCTCAGCCATGAAGATCTGGCCATGAAGATCCTCTAGCGGTAGGATAGGGGAAGAATGCAGCAACCACCAGGGTCACCACCACTCGGGGTAGATGGGCCCCACCACACCCTCTTACAGCTGTACTCAAAGCAATTAATAAATTAAAACAACCTCTTCCCTCAGCACTGCCCCTCCACCCCCCCAATCACACAGAAGCTGAGCGGAAAGCAAAGCGAGGAGGTTGGTTCCTGCCCCTCCAACAGAGGCCAGGGCCCCTCCCTCTAGGAGCAGCTGAGAGCATGGATTATGCAGGGGCCTCCAAGTGCATTGAGAGGAGATGTCCACTCTTTCTTCTCACATGTGTCTAGAACATGTGAGGGTTCTTCAGAAAGACCCCAATCCAAATGCAGTAACTAGGGAATTCCCTGGCAGTCCAGTGGTTAGGACTCCGCCCCTTCACTGCCGAGGGCCTGGGTTCAACTTTGGCAGTTGAGAACACGAGAGCCCCCAGAGATAAGGGGGCCCCCAAAAGGAATGCTGGCACGTGTATTCTACAGACTTCAATTTCATCTCTGGCCAGCCTGGCCCGCCCCCAGCTAGGACTGGGATGGGGCTGAGCTGGTCAGATGCAGGGAGGACGAGGAGCCTGACTGGCCACCCGCCGCAGCTGGCCAGGCCCCTTAGTGCACACTGCAGGGACAGGTAGGACCCGACCCCTTCGGCTTGCGACAGGCAAGTAGGAAGGAGCCCCCTCGGGCTTCAGCTGTGGCATGGTTCGTTCCTGCAGGCAGGGAGGGGGGTGGCAGTGTCCCCTCCTCTGCTGTTGGTGGCCACTCGAGGGGGCCTTGCCAGGGCTACAGGTGGATGGCTGTGACATCTGTGGGAGTGCTGGTCTGGCTGGGCCCCTGGCTGCTGGAGCCCCTGGGGGCTTTGGGCGCTGGGCTGGGGGAGGTCTGGGCAGCTTCCCTGAGGCTCTCCCTGAGGGCAGCTTCAATCTGCTCCTGACAGGCCCGCAGGCAGTCCTGGGAACAAGGGGGAACGGTGAGGAAGGTCCACGTCCCTCCCCCCACAGCATGTGGCAGCAGGTGCTGGAGGACACCTCCCAGCACACAGGGAAGTCTGGGGAGGTTAGGCCACAGCCCAGCCCCAGGAATCAGCTTTCAATTCTCAGAAACTGGCAAGAGGATGTGGCAAGAGGGTGTGAGAGCAGCCCAGCATCTGACACCAAATCCCCCACCCCCACTCCTGCACACCGTTTGGCAAGAAAAGGGTACCCAGGGACAGTGCCCTTCAGCCCGCCCAAGACACCTGCTGCTTCTCCAACCAAGGAAGGGGATAAAAGGCCACAGAAGCCCCAAAGGCAGGGCACTCGAAACCAGGAGTGGAGACGGGGCCCGGCGG